GGCCTCCTCGCCGTGGCCTCAGGAGCCCTCAGACTCGGCTGACCCCTGGGCAGGGTTCCCTGGACGGGAGTGTGGAAGGGTGTGGGGGTGCTCGAGGCCTGGCCGGGCCTGACTCTGCCCCTGTCCCCTGCTCCGCAGAAGCGCAACAGGGCCATCACGGCCCGGAGGCAGCACCTGAAGGTAGGCGCCCGCCCGCCCGCCCGAGGGGGCCGCCCAGGGGTCTGCGGGGGTCGCGGGCCGCAGCCCCTCACTGCCTGCCCCTCCCCGCAGAGCGTGATGCTGCAGATCGCGGCCACGGAGCTGGAGAAGGAGGAGGGACGCCGCGAGGCCGAGAAGCAGAACTACCTGTCGGAGCACTGTCCCCCGCTGCACATCCCGGGCTCCGTGTCTGAAGTGCAGGTACCCGGCCCGCCCCGGCCACCGCGCCTCCCGAGCACGTGCATGCCTGCTGCCTCGGTTTCCCCGCTGGTCAAGAGGGCAGGGGTGGGCGACGGCGACCCTCGAGTGTCCTGACGGCTGCCTGCCCCCAGGAGCTCTGCAGGCAGCTGCACGCCAAGATCGACGCGGCCGAGGAAGAGAAGTACGACATGGAGGTGAGGGTGCAGAAGAGCAGCAAGGAGGTGAGAGCTCGGGACTGGGGCCGGGACCGGGGCTGGGGGCCGGGGCTGGGGCCGGCCCTGGTCCCGCCGGGCCCCCACCAGCGGCCTCCCCTCCACAGCTGGAGGACATGAACCAGAAGCTGTTCGACCTGAGGGGCAAGTTCAAGCGGCCCCCGCTGCGCAGGGTGCGCATGTCGGCCGACGCCATGCTCAAGGCGCTGCTGGGCTCCAAGCACAAGGTGTGCATGGACCTGCGGGCCAACCTGAAGCAGGTCAAGAAGGAGGACACCGAGAAGGTAGGCCCCCGCCCCGCCACCCTCCCCGGGCTGCCCCACGACCCACGACGGAGGGGACCCGGGCTGAGCCCTCTCTGGCCCCACCCCAGGAGCGGGACCTGCGCGACGTGGGCGACTGGAGGAAGAACATCGAGGAGAAGTCGGGCATGGAGGGCCGCAAGAAGATGTTCGAGTCCGAGTCGTAGCCCCAGCACCATGCCCGCAGGGCACGCCGGCCTGGGGAGCGCCCGGCCCCTCTTAGCTGTCAATAAAGGATGTGAGTCCCCGAGACTGGTCTGGTCTGGTTCTGTCCAGCAACTCCTAAGTGCCGGGCTTGGGGACCCTGTGGATGGGGGCCTGCAGTGTGGCCGGCCATGCGCGGGGTGGCGGGGCAGGTGAGGCCACCTGTGGCATGGGAATTTCAGAAAGGGAGCAGGCAGGCAAGCCCAGGAACGCCTGTTTGGGGGAATCCACCTGGGCTGCATGGAGTGTTGGCTTGCTGTGGTCTTCCTGGGACCACTCTGGGTACGTCCAATGCCGCAGAGCCTGCAGAGAGGTGGCTGTGGGCCCGAGGCCATCTGAGTGGGAGTTCCCACAATGAGCTCATGTGTCCATTTGCACAGTCATCCCAGGCCCCACACTGGGCTCCAGAGTGACCCACTCTGTATGACACAAGTCCAGGCAGGGGCCATCGCAGGTATGCCCCTCGCCCAGTGCAGGGGGCAGCCCCCACTCCTGTGCAGTTCCCTTCCGTGCGGATCCAGACTAAGGCCAGAATCTGGAGCCGTGGTGGAGCCCCTGAGCTGCTGCCCCCGCACGCCACCCCCACCCAGGTCCTTCTGCTGGTCCCCCTCCCACATCGCTTTGGGCCAGTCTCCCAGCTCTGGGGCTTCCCTGCATTCCCACGTCAGCACCGAGGCCCGAGTCAGGAACAGGGCCTGGAGGCTGAGCCCACATGGTTGGCCGTGACCAGGCCAGGGACCTGACTGAAACCCCCGAGGCAGAAAGGGCAGCTGCGGTTCAGCCTCGTGCTGCTGGAAGGAACTGATGTCAGCCAGCACCCAAGACAGACTTCACCACCACCACCCCACTCCCCTGCCTGCTGCAGCCCTGGGTCGGCTCCACTCCTTCCAACAGCCCTCCTGCAGGCCCTTCTGGCTTGGGGACCCTGCAGATGGAGCCCCAGCCTTACTGACCCCCTGCCCTTGGCCTCTCCTGGAGCCCCTAGGGCTCCTGTAGGGGATGGCCAGATCTCTGTAGGAAGCCCCTTGCTCTCCACGGGGGCCAGGCAGTGTGGTCGTGCAGGGCAACTTGGGGTCAGGTGGGCTCGAATGATAAGGCAACTCTGGTGGGTGCAGCCAGTCAGCCCCTGACGAGGCGTGTGTCCAAGTTTAGGGGTCTGCAGGGCATAGAAGCAGGGCCCATGACCCAGACCGGTGCAGAGTGTTCTGCAAGGCCAGGTCTCAGATGAGGTCCCAGAAGGACAGGATGGAGGGAGACATAGTGCACTGAAAGGGACTGAGGGATGTTCTAGGCCAGGGTGCATTCCGTGCAGAGCCGAGGTGGCACACAGGGAGTTCTAGGAACAGACTGTGGTGTGGCCGGAGTGATAGAGGTGGGGCCTCGCATCGACCCAGCAGAGGGAAACCGGCAGCTCTCCAGGGACCATGCCACCAGGAAAGGGGTCCGGATCTACCCCGAGGACAGAGGGGCATCAGAGGCCTACGGAGCAGGAGAGGCAGGCACGTGCGGACACGGCTCCCAACATGCAGGACTCAACTCATCGGGGTCAGGCAGACACACTATGTAGGAAAACTATCTTTTTTGTTGCTGTTAAAGCAAGGAAATGTCGAGCCTAAAATTCCAGGTAGTGTTTACCTGGGGAGGGTGGGGCAGGGGCAGTTAGGACAGAACGTGGCGGATGCACCTAAGTTGATGTAGGTTTGGGGGAACGTTCTGACTCTTGGGTCAGATAGTGGCTTTATGGATGTTTGTTGCATTTTTCCAATGAATGAAGTAAAAGAGGCCCATGCAAACGAAGCCAGGAAAAGCCAACCCAGCAAACAGCAAAACCAGCGCCGCCCCGGCCAGGCTCGGTCACCCCTGCTTCCTTCTGCCCCGCCAGGTGATCCTGGGCATCCCCAGCTGCACGGGAATTTCCTGCAAGGCGTGCAGCCCAGCACCCGGCAAGTGGCTGTCCTCACCAGCTCTGCATCCTAGAGAGATCTCAGCAGGCTGGAGAGTAGGCAGCAGGGAGGCAAGGCTGGAGGTGGGGATGGGATGGAGGCAGGTGAGAGAGGCCAAGGAGGCGGGGCCCAGGATCCAGGCCGTGAGCCCAGAGGAAAAGGGGTTTGAGTGGAGGGAAGGACCTCGCGTAGGGGCTGTAGGGTCTGCGGGCCTATGGAAGCCCGGGGGCAGAGGTGGCACCGGCAGCTGAGAGCCAGGGTCTGGGCTAGGGCTGAGACTTGGGCGTGCTAGGAAGGAGGTGCCTGGCAATGCCCCAGGCAGAGGCAGATGGCCCCAGTGTCGGGAGCACCCCAGCACCCGGGGGTCAGTCTGCAGCACCCTGTTCCATGCAGGACCCAGGGCTCCTGCAGACATGGCTAGTGGCAGAGCAGGGCGGGGACTGCACACAACGTGCAGAGAGTGTCCTGTGGCAGGAAGGAAGTAAGCAGTCAGAACAAAGATGAAATGGCAGCGGTGGGAGCAGGTCTCGGGGACCAAGACCGGGAGATGAGACACGAGAAGTGTTTTAATGGTAAAGGTGGTTTGTTAGTCCGTTTCTGTTGCTTATCACAAAATACATGGAACTGGGTAATTTGTAAAAAAAAAAAAAAAGAGAGAAATTTATTACTTACAGTTTTGGAGGCTGGGAAGTCCAAAGTCCGGGGAACCCATCTGGTGAGGGTCTTGGTGGTGGTGACAGTGACCCAGGGGTCCCACGTGGCAGAAAGTGGAGAAGCAGAGAGACTGATCTCTCATGTGCTCTTCTTTTGAAGTCCTCGGACCCAGTCCCCTGGCCACCACTTCTAATCCATTCGCTAGGCAGGTCCTCGGAATCTAATCACCTCTGCAAGACCCCGCCTTTCAATTACTGTCATAGAATCCCCCACACTCAACAGCTACAGTGGAAACTAAGCCTCAGCGAGGTTGGGGCTGGGGCATCCAGTCGACAGCATTCCACCCCCAAACTCACGTCTTCTCACACATAAATATATCCGTGCTGTCCCCAAAGCCTTAACTTGTTTCAACTCGAAAGTCCAAAGTTCAAAGTCCCATCTGTGAATTAAAAACAAGTTGTCTTCTTCTAAGATACATGGTGGGACAAGCATGGGGTACACATTCCCGTTCGAAAAGTGACAAATAGGCCAAAAGAAAGGGGTAACGGGTCCTAAGCAAGTGCGAAACCCAGCAGGGCAGACGTTAAATCTCAAAGCTGGCGAACCAGGTACCTTGACTCCATGTTCAGTGTCCTCTGCACGCTGGTGTGGGAGTTGGGTCCCCAAGTCCTCGGGCAGCTCTGCTCCTGTGGCTTTCCTGGTCTCAGGTGACGCTTCAGCTCTCCCGGGCTGGCACTGCACGCTGGTAGCTCCACAGGTCTGGGGTCTCCATGGTGGTCCGTCTCCCTCAGCTCCACTAATGGAGTGTGGCACGAATGGGTTTTTTCTCCTGCAACTCTGACCCCACGTTTCCACTCAGCATTGCTGTCGTGAAGACTCTATGTGGTGAATCCGTCCCTGTGACAGATCTCTTCCTGCATCCCCGGGCTTTTCTATACATACTTTGAAATCAGGGTGGAGGCTTCCTAGCTCTGGCATTCCGTGAGCCTACAGACCTGACACCACGTGGGTGCTGCAGAGGCTTCCAGGTTGTATTTGTCAAAGCTGCGGGTCCAGCCACGGCTGGAGCAGGCAAAGCCACTGGGATACTGGTGCTGGAAGTGGCACCCAGACGCATCCCTGGGCATCAAGCCCGTGGAGGGTGCCTCGGGCCTCTTCCCCGAGACCGTTCTGTCTCCCTAGGCCTCTGGGCTTGTCATGGAAGATGCAGCCTCCAAGGTCTATGAAATGCCTTCAAGGTCTTTTTTCCCTTCTCTTGATAATTCCTTTCTTCTGTACTCATCTCCTTAGCAAAGTGTCACTGGGCTGCACCATTGAATTGTTCTGAAAATGCCCTCTGCTTCTCTACCACATGGCCGGGCTGCAAATTTTCCAAATCTTTACATTTGACTTCCCTTTAAAATTCTTGTTCTGTGTCCTGCCTTTGCCACCATAACTCAGTGTAGCTGTTACAAGTGGCCGTGCAGCTTCCTGAATGTTTTGCTGCTTAGAAATTTCTTCTGCCAAGTACCCTGGGTCAGCAACTTGAAGTTCCACATTCCATAAAATTTGGGGGCATGAACAGAATTCCAAGAACCAAGTTCCTCGCCAGTTCATAGCAAGGGTGAGCTTTGCCCCAGTTTCCAATAAGTCCCTTTTCATTGACATCTGAGATCTTGTCACAATGGCCTTTACTGTCCACATTTCCATCAGCGTTCTGCTCGCCACCACGTCACCGGTCTCTAAGACGTTCCAAACTTTCCTTAGTCTTTTGATCTCCTTCTGCGTCCTCCAAACTCCTCCAGCTTTTGTCTAACAGCCAGTTACAAAGCCGCTTCCACATTTTCAAGTATTTGTTATAAGCAACACCCCACTTCTCTGGTACCAATTTTCTGTATGAGTCCATTTCTGTTGCTTGTAACAAAATGCATAGAACTAGGTAATTTGTAAGAAAACAAAATTTACTGCTTGCAGTTTTAGAGACTGGGAAGTCCAAAGTCCGGGGAACACATTTACTGAAGGACTTGGCGGTGGTCAGAGTGACCCAGAGGTCTCACGTGGCGGAAAATGGTACAGCAGAGACAGACTGACCTGTCATGTTGACCGCGCCCCTGACCGCCATCATCAACCCGTTCACGACTGCACAGTCCTACAACCCGATCAGCTCGTCAAGGCCCCACCTCCCAATGACCATAATGGGATGTCCCACCTCGACAGTTACGGTGGGGACTAAGCCCCGGTGACGTTGGGGGCATCCAGTCCCCAGCAGAGTGAGGCTGACCCCTGCCCGGTGGTGAGGACGGAGGGCATCTTCATGTTCAGAAAATAGACCGTGAAGTCTTTAGGAGCAAAGGGGGGAAGGGTCGGGACAGACACGGGGGTGCTGGGTGCGGGGCTGATAAGGCACCTGGGTCGTGCATCAGCCCCAGGGGACGCAGGCAAAGGACGTGGACTTGTACCTTCCTCATTC